AGGTAGGTAAGCCTTAGGGGGGGGTAAGCCTTTAGGTAGGTAGGTTTTGGTGGGTAAGCCTTAGGTAGGTAGAGCCTTTAGGTGGGTAAGCCTTTTTAGGAGGGTAAAGCCTTGGGTAGGTAAGCCTTTAGGTGGGTAGACCTTTTGGGAGGGTAGACCTTTTTTAGGTGGTAGACCTTTGGGTAGTTTAAACCCTTTTAGGGGGGTAGAGATTTTAGGTAGGTAAAACCCTTAGGGGGGGAAAAGGTTTTTAGGTAGGTAGACCCTTTTAGGTGGGAAACCCTTTTAGGGGGTAAAACCTTTAGGTGGGTAGAGCCTTTGGGTGGGGTAGAGCCTTTAGGAGGGTGGGCCCTTTTTAGGTAGGAACCCTTTTAGGGGGTAGAGCCTTTGGCGGGGGAACCCTTTGGTGGGAGACCTTTAGGATGGTCGACCTTTAGGTAATAGACCCTCTATAGGTGACCCTTTTAGGTAGGTGTCTTTGGGTGGGGAACCCTTTGGAGGTAGACCCCTTTTGGTAGGGTGTCCCTTTTAGGTGGGGGGCCCTTTGGTGGGTAAGCCTTTAGGAGGGTCGACCTTTGGGTGGTAGACCCTTTTATGAGGTCCCTTTTAGGTAGGAACCTTTTAGGGGGGTGAGTTTTAGGGGGGTGGGCCCCTTTAGGCGGGGAGAGCCTTTGGGGAGTAAGCCTTTAGGTATTTAGAGCCTTTGGGAGGGTCGAGCCTTTTAGGTAGGTAGAGCCTTTAGGTAGGTAGAGCCTTTAGGTAGGTAGTGCCTTTAGGTAGGTATAGCCTTTAGGTAGGTAGAGCCTTTAGGTAGGTAGTGCCTTTAGGTGGGGAGAGCCTTTAGGTGGGTAGAGCCTTTAGGAGGGTAGAGCCTTTAGGTAGGTAGAGCCTTTAGGAGGGTAGTGCCTTTAGGCGGGGAGAGCCTTTAGGTAGGTAGAGCCTTTAGGTAGGTAGAGCCTTTAGGAGGGTAGAGCCTTTAGGAGGGTAGAGCCTTTAGGTAGGTAGAGCCTTTAGGAGGGTAGAGCCTTTAGGTGGGGAGTGCCTTTAAGGAGAGTAGATCCTTTAGGTAGGTAGAGCCTTCAGGTGGATATAGCCTTTAGGTAGGTAGAGCCTTTAGGTAGGTAGAGCCTTTAGGTAGGTAGAGCCTTTAGGAGGGTAAAGCCTTTAGGTAGGTAGAGCCTTTAGGTAGGTAGAGCCTTTAGGTAGGTAGAGCCTTTAGGTGGGTAGAGCCTTTAGGAGGGTAGAGCCTTTAGGTAGGTAGAGCCTTTAGGTGGGTAGAGCCTTTAGGAGGGTAGAGCCTTTAGGTAGGTAGAGCCTTTAGGTAGGTAGAGCCTTTAGGTAGGTAGAACCTTTAGGTGGGTAGAGCCTTTAGGTAGGGTAGAGCCTTTAGGAGGGTAGAGCCTTTAGGTAGGTAGAGCCTTTAGGTAGGTAGGACCTTTAGGGGAGGAAGAGCCTCTTTAGTGGGTTAGAGCCTTTAGGATGGTCGAGCCTTAGGTAGATAGAGCCTCTAGGTAGGTAGAGCCTTTAGGTAGGTAGTGCCTTTAGGTGGGGAGAGCCTTTAGGTAGGTAGAGCCTTTAGGTAGGTAGTGCCTTTAGGTGGGGAGAGCCTTTTAGGTGGAGTAGAGCCTTTAGGAGGGTCGAGGCCTTTAGGTAGGTAGAGCATTTAGTAGGTAGTGGCCTTAGTAGGTAGAGCCATTTAGGTGGGTAGAGCCTTTAGGAGGTAGTGCCTTAGGCGGGGAGAGCCTTTAGGTAGGTAGAGCCTTAGGTAGGTAGAGCCTTTAGGAGGGTCGAGCCTTTAGGTAGGTAGAGCCTTTAGGTGGGTAGAGCCTTAGTAGGAGTGCCTTTAGGTAGGTATAGCCTTTAGGTAGGTAGAGCCTTTAGGGGGGAGTGCCTTAGGGGGGGAGACCCTTTGGTGGGTAGACCCTTTAGGGGGTAGAGTTTTAGGTGGGACCTTTGGGGGAGTCCCTTTAGGGGGGAACCTTTAGGTAGGTAGAGCCTTTAGGTAGAGACCCTTTTAGGAGGGTAAGGCTTTAGGTGGGGATTGCCTTTTAAAGGAGAGTGATCCTTTAGGTGGGGTAAAAGCCTTCAGGGGGATTACCCTTTTAGGTAGGTAGAGCTTTGGGTGGGTGGGCCTTTTTTAGGTAGGTAGAGTTTTTAGGGGGTAAACCCCTTTTGGTGGGTAGGCCTTAGGTAGTAGGCCTTAGGTGGTAGACCCTTTTGGGTTTGGGTGAGCCTTTTAGGAGGGTGGCCTTTAGGTAGGTAGAGCCTTTAGGGGGGTAGAGCCTTTAGGAGGGTAGACCCCTTTAGGTAGGTAGAGCCTTTAGGTGGTAGAGCCTTTAGGAGGGTAAGATTTGGTAGGTAGAACCTTTGGGTGGGTAGAGCCTTTGGTAGGAGAGCCTTTAGGGGGTTTTAGACCCTTTAGGTGGGTAACCTTTAGGGGGTAGACCCTTTTTGGGTGGGTTAGAGCCTTAGGGGGGTAAAGCCTTTAGGTAGGGAGCCTTTGGGTGGGTAACCCTTTAGGGGGGTAGAGCTTTGGGTAGATAGGCCTTTAGGGGTAACCCTTTGGGTGGGTAGACCCTTTAGGGGGGTTTAGAGCCTTTTAGTGGGTAGAGCCTTTAGGAGGTGAGCCTTTAGGGGGGTAGAGCCTTTAGGTAGGAAAAGGGCCTTTAGGTGGGTAGTGCCTTGGGTAGTAATTTTTAGGGGGAGAGCCTTTGGGTAGGTGTGCCTTTAGGTGGGGAGAGCATTAGGTGGGTAGAGCCTTTAGGAGGGTTGAGCCTTTAGGTAGGTAGAGTCTTTATGTAGGTAGTGCCTTTAGGTAGGTAGAGCCTTTAGGTGGGTAGAGCCTTTAGGAGGGTAGTGCCTTTAGGCGGGGAGAGCCTTTAGGTAGGTAGAGCCTTTAGGGGGGTAGAGCCTTTAGGTAGGTAGAGCCTTTAGGAGGGTAGAGCCTTTAGGTAGGTAGAGCCTTTAGGTGGGTAGAGCCATTAGGTAGGTAGAGCCTTTAGGTAGGTAGAGCCTTTAGGAGGGTAGAGCCTTTAGGTAGATAGAGCCTTTAGGAGGGTAGAGCCTTTAGGTGGGGAGTGCCTTTAAGGAGAGTAGAGCCTTTAGGTAGGTAGAGCCTTCAGGTGGATAGAGCCTTTAGGTAGGTAGAGCCTTTAGGTAGGTAGAGCCTTTAGGTAGGTAGAGCCTTTAGGAGGGTAAAGCCTTTAGGTAGGTAGAGCCTTTAGGTAGGTAGAGCCTTTAGGTAGGTAGAGCCTTTAGGTGGGTAGAGCCTTTAGGATGGTAGAGCCTTTAGGTAGGTAGAGCCTTTAGGAGGGTAGAGCCTTTAGGTAGGTAGAGCCTTTAGGTAGGTAGAGCCTTTAGGAGGATAGAGCCTTTAGGTAGGTAGAACCTTTAGGTGGGTAGAGCCTTTAGGTAGGTAGAGCCTTTAGGAGGGTAGAGCCTTTAGGTAGGTAGAGCCTTTAGGTGGGTAGAGCCTTTAGGTAGGTAGAGCCTTTAGGAGGGTAGAGCCTTTAGGTAGGTAGAGCCTTTAGGTGGGTAGAGCCTTTAGGTAGATAGAGCCTTTAGGAGGGTAGAGCCTTTAGGTATGTAGAGCCTTTAGGTGGGTAGAGCCTTTAGGTGGGTAGAGCCTTTAGGTAGATAGAGCCTTTAGGAGGGTAGAGCCTTTAGGTAGGTAGAGCCTTTAGGTGAGTAGAGCGTTTAGGAGGGTAGAGCCTTTAGGTAGGTAAAGCCTTTAGCCACTAAGGAAATGGATGATGATGAAATGGCCTTCAAACAGAAGCAGAAAGAAGACCAGAAAGCCACTAAGGAAATGGATGATGATGAAATGGCCTTCAAACAGAAGCAGAAAGAAGACCAGAAAGCCTTGGAGGCATTGAAGACGAAAGCAGCAGCTGGTGGAGGAATCAAGAAGTCTGGAAAGAAGTGATTTGGCATTAGATCATGCACTCATTTGCTGAATCGCAGCCCCCTGGAAAATCCAACCCCCCACCACCTCCTTTGTTTTTTTTCTGTTTGGGTCTATTGTAGAATGAGTAAAATACATGAAATGACCCTTTTAAATAATTTCCAATGTGTTACGTAAAGAAGTTCTGAACTAATAAAGTCTTGTAACTACTGCTGTATTTACACTCCTCCATAATCTTTGAGATTCTGTCAAGAAACACGTCGTGGTCCATCTGTAGCTCAGCTGGTAGAGCACGGCGCTTGTAACGCCAGGGTAGTGGGTTCGATCCCCGGGACCACCCATACACAAAAATGTATGCACGCATGACTGTAAGTCGCTTTGGATAAAAGCGTCTGCTAAATGGCTTATTATTATTATTATTTATTATAGGTAGGTAGAGTCTAGGGGTTGTTTCTGGACAGGGCCTTTGATTCGACGTTATCTTGCTGTTTCGTGACATACATAGAGTGGGGCCAATGTGGTGTTATATAGTTTTGAGTAAATATGGTTCTAAGGGTTTAAGGATGAAGGTTAAAGTTAGTGTTGATTCTATACTGAGATGGTTGACTTAAAGCTATCTGCTGACCAACCCCACCTGACCCTGTGTGTATAGGAAGAGACAGCTGCTGTGTCATGTCGATAACATGCCTGGGGGAGATTTAAGTTGTGTTAGTTCAACTTCTTCAACATGCCCGGAGGAGACTTAGATTGTGTTAGTTCAACTTCTTTGGAAAACAGAAAGGAAAATGCAGCACACTGCTGCTCATGCTCCCAGGTGATATTTATTTATAACAACGTTTCGACCCTTAGGTCTTTATCAGGCATCCATATCGCAGGTGGGGGTGGCAGGTCCTATATACAGGGGCAGTACTCAGTGACATCACTTCCTGAAACAAGAGGTAAAAAAATGTATAGCATAGGTTCACATTATTAACATTCAATGTATCAAAATATATGATCATACACAAGGAATGTGATCAATATTTACAGTAATATACATACACATACAATATTAAATTAGGATTTTTTTTAAACACACCATTTGGACATTTTGAAACTATAAAAACGGTTTCAAGTCAAGGCCAAGAGGAGACAGTGTGTTGAGCCTGTGGCTCCAGAAAGATTCCCTTTGAAGAAGTTTCCTCTCAATGTCCCCTCCCCTGCGTGACATCTTGACCATTTCTATTCCAATGTATCTCAAAGAACTAATAGGATGTCCAGCTTGTACCAAATGAACAGCAACCGTATATTGCTGCGGTGCTCACTGATCCGTGTCTTAAAGCTTCTACAGGGTTTCCCTATGTAAGACAGACCACAAGGACATTTCAACATGTAAGTAACATTGGTGGACAGGTAATCAGGCCTTTGATCTTAAATCTTTGTCCTGTGCGGGGGTGGGTAAATGAGTTGCATTTGTACGTGAAGCTGCATTGAGCACTTTGGCCACATTTGTAATTCCCTCCGGAACCTTGTCCAAGAAAGTTTCCCTTTTCGCTTTCCAACTGTGTAAGTCCTTCAACACGATAATTGGCATGTTTTACCCAATTGTCTTTGTACCCCCTTTCCTTAAACCTTTGTGTGAGGTGCGTAGTCTGTTTCTGGTAAGAAGCATCAGAGCTGCATATTCTTCTGATGTGACTGAATTGACTTATAGGGAGACTTAATAAGTGGACGTGGATGAAAGCTGTCACCTCTAAGGAGGGTGTTCCTGTCCGTAGGTTTCCTATAGAGATCTGTAGAGAGGGAGGTTTTGTCCTTAATAACCATCACATCAACAAAACTGATTTGTGATAGGTCATAGTTAATGGTGAAATGAGAGAGGAAAGAGAAAAGAGAAAAGAGAAAAGAGAAAAGAGAAAAGCCCTTCCTTCAATGGGTTTAAACAGGGTCACCCTGTAGACCAGGGGCTCTCAACTCTCTCCTCGTGGACCCCCGGCCGTTCCACATATTTTAACTATTCCACAGAAAAAAAACAAGCCATGAGGTCAAAGGAATTGTCCGTAGAGCTCTGAGACAGGATTGTGTCGAGGCACAGATCTGGGTAAGGGTACCAAACATTTCTGCAGCATTGAAGGTCCCCAAGAACACAGTGGCCTCCATCATTCTTAAATGGAAGAAGTTTGGAACCATAAAGACTCTACCTAGAGCTGGCCGCCCGACAAAACTGAGCAATCAGGGGAGAAGGGCCTTGGTCAGGGAGGTGACCAAGAACCTGATGGTCACTCTGACAGAGCTCCAGAGTTCCTCTGTGGATACGGGGGAACCTTCCAGAAGGACAACCATCTCTGCAGCACTCCACCAATCAGGCCTTTATGGTAGAGTGGCCAGACAGAAGCCTGCTTGGAGTTTGCCAAAAGGCACCTAAAGGATTCTGACCCTGAGAAACAAGATTCTCTGGTCTGATGAAACCAAGATTGAAGTCTTTGGCATGAATGCCAAGCTTCACGTCTGGAGGAAACCTGGCACCATCCCTACGGTGAAGCATGGTGGTGGCAGCATTTTGCTGTGGGGAAATTTTTCAGCGGGAAGGACTGGGAGACTAGTCAGGATCGAGGGAAAGATGAACGAGGGAGCACAGTGCAGAGAGATCCTTGATGAAAACCTGCTCCAGAGCGCTCAGGACCTCATACTGGGGCGAAGGTTCACCTTCCAACAGGACAACGTTCCTAAGCACACAGCCAAGACAATGCAGGAGTGGCTTCGGGACAAGTCTCTGAATGTCCTTGAGTGGCCAGCCAGAGCCTGGACTTGAACCCGATCGAACATCTCAGGAGAGACCTGAAAGTAGCTGTGCTGCGACGCTCCCCATCCAACCTGACAGAGCTTGAGAGGATCTGAAGAAAAGAATGGGAGACTCCCCAAATACAGGTGTGCAAAGCTTGTAGCGTCATACCAAAGAAGACTCAAGGCTGTAATCGCTGCCAAAGGTGCTTCAACAAAGTACTGAGTAAAGGGTCTGAATACTTATGCAAATGTCATATTTCCGTTTCTTATTTTTTATACATTTGATTCTTCTTTCTAAAATCCTGTTTTTGCTTTGTATTATGGGGTATAGTGTGTATATTGAGGGAAAAAATGTAATCCAATTTAGAATAAGGCTGTAACAAAATGTGGAAAAAGTGGTCTGAACTTTCCGAACACATTGTACATCCTCTACTCACACAGGCTGCTGTGGTCACATATACATACCCCATTACACTGCTACAGTGGCTTGCGAAAGTATTCACCCCCCTTGGCATTTTTCCTATTTTGTTGCCTTGCAACCTGGAATTAAAATTGAGTTTTTGGGGGTTTGTATAATTTGATTTACACAACATGCCTACCATTTTGAAGATGCAAAATAATGTTTATTGTGAAACAAACAAGAAATAAGACAAAAAAACAGAGAAACTTAGCATGCATAACTATTCACCCCCCCCCCCCCCCAAAGTCAATACTTTGTAGAGCCACCTTTTGCAGCAATTACAGCTGCAAGTCTCTTGGGGTATGTCTCTATAAGCTTGGCACATCTAGCCACTGGGATTTTTGCCCATTCTTCAAAGCAAAACTGCTCCAGCTCCTTCAAGTTGGATGGGTTCCGCTGGTGTACAGCAATCTTTAAGTCATACCACAGATTCTCAATTGGATTGAGGTCTGGGCTTTGACTAGGCCATTACAAGACATTTAAATATTTCCCCTTAAACCACTCGAGTGTTGCTTTAGCAGTATGCTTAGGGTCATTGTCCTGCTGGAAGGTGAACCTCCATCCCAGTCTCAAATCTCTGGAAGACTGAAACAGGTTTCCCTCAAGAATTTCCCTGTATTTAGCGCCATCCATCATTCCTTCAATTCTGACCAGTTTCCCAGTCCCTGCCGATGAAAACATCCCCACAGCATGATGCTGCCACCACCATGCTTCACTGTGGGGATGGTGTTCTCGGGGTGATGAGAGGTGTTGGGTTTGCGCCAGACATTGCGTTTTCTTTGATGCCCAAAAAGCTAAATTTTTGTCTCATCTGACCAGAGTACCTTCTTCCATATGTTTGGGGAGTCTCCCACATGGCTTTTGGTGAACATCAAATGTGTTTGCTTATTTTTTTCTTCAAGCAATGTTTTTTTTTCTGCCCACTCTTCCGTAAATCCCAGCTCTGTGAAGTGTACGGCTTAAAGTGGTGCTATGGACAGATACTCCAATCTCCGCTGTGGAGCTTTGCAGCTACTTCAGGGTTATCTTTGGTCTCTTTGTTGCCTCTCTGATTAATGCCCTCCTTGCCTAGCCCGTGAGTTTTGGTGGGTGGCCCTCTCTTGGCAGGTTTGTTGTGGTGCCATATTCTTTCAATTTTGTAACCTGTTTGGAGAGAGCTCCTTGGTCTTCATGGTGCCGCTTGCTTGGTGGTGCCCCTTGCTTAGTGGTGTTGCAGACTCTGGGGCCTTTCAGAACAGGTGTATATATACTGAGATCTTGTGACAGATCATTTGACACTTAGATTGCACACAGGTGGACTTTATTTAACTAATTATGTGACTTCTGAAGGTAATTGGTTGCACCAGATCTTATTTAGGGGCTTCATAGCAAATTGGGTGAATACATACAGTGGGGAAAAAAAGTATTTAGTCAGCCACCAATTGTGCAAGTTCTCCCACTTAAAAAGATTAGAGAGGCCTGTAATTTTCATCATAGGTACACGTCAACTATGACAGACAAATTGAGAAAGAAAAATCCAGAAAATCACATTGTAGGATTTTTTATGAATTTATTTGCAAATTATGGTGGAAAATAAGTATTTGGTCACCTACAAACAAGCAAGATTTCTGGCTCTCACAGACCTGTAACTTCTTCTTTAAGAGGCTCCTCTGTCCTCCACTTGTTACCTGTATCAATGGCACCTGTTTGAACTTGTTATCAGTACAAAAGACACCTGTCCACAACCTCAAACAGTCACACTCCAAACTCCACTATGGCCAAGACCAAAGAGCTGTCAAAGGACACCAGAAACAAAATTGTAGACCTGCACCAGGCTGGGAAGACTGAATCTGAAATAGGTAAGCAGCTTGGTTTGAAGAAATCAACTGTGGGAGCAATTATTAGGAAATGGAAGACATACAAGACCACTGATAATCTCCCTCGATCTGGGGCTCCACGCAAGATCTCACCCCGTGGGGTCAAAATGATCACAAGAACGGTGAGCAAAAATCCCAGAACCACACGGGGGGACCTAGTGAATGACCTGCAGAGAGCTGGGACCAAAGTAACAAAGCCTACCATCAGTAACACACTACGCCGCCAGGGACTCAAATCCTGCAGTGCCAGACGTGTCCCCCTGCTTAAGCCAGTACATGTCCAGGCCCGTCTGAAGTTTGCTAGAGTGCATTTGGATGATCCAGAAGAGGATTGGGAGAATGGCATATGGTCAGATGAAACCAAAATATAACTTTTTGGTAAAAACTCAACTCGTCGTGTTTGGAGGACAAAGAATGCTGAGTTGCATCCAAAGAACACCATACCTACTGTGAAGCATGGGGGTGGAAACATCATGCTTTGGTGCTGTTTTTCTGCAAAGGGACCAGGACGACTGATCCATGTAAAGGAAAGAATGAATGGGGCCATGTATCGTGAGATTTTGAGTGAAAACCTCCTTCCATCAGCAAGGGCATTGAAGATGAAACGTGGCTGGGTCTTTCAGCATGACAATGATCCCAAACACACCGCCCGGGCAATGAAGGAGTGGCTTCGTAAGAAGCATTTCAAGGTCCTGGATTGGCCTAGCCAGTCTCCAGATCTCAACCCCATAGAAAATCTTTGGAAGCAGTTGAAAGTCCGTGTTGCCCAGCGACAGCCCCAAAACATCACTGCTCTAGAGGAGATCTGCATGGAGGAATGGGCCAAATACCAGCAACAGTGTGCGAAAACCTTGTGAAGACTTACAGAAAACGTTTGACCGGTGTCATTGCCAACAAAGGGTATATAACAAAGTATTGAGAAACTTTTGTTATTGACCAAATACTTATTTTCCACCATAATTTGCAAATAAATTCATTAAAAATCCTACAATGTGATTTTCTGGATTTTTTTTTCTCATTTTGTCAGTCGTAGTTGACGTGTACCTATGATGAAAATTACAGGCCTCTCTCATCTTTTTAAGTGGGAGAACTTGCACAATTGGTGACTGACTAAATACTTTTTTCCCCCACTGTATGTACGCTTCAATTGTCCGTTATTTATTCTTTAGAATATTTTGAAACAAGTTATGTTTTTCATTTCACTTCACCAATTTGGACTATTTTGTGTATGTCCATTACATGAAATCCAAATAAAAATCCATTTAAATTACAGGTTGTAATGCAACAAAATAGGAAAAACGCAAAGGTGGATGAACACTTTTGCAAGGCACTGTACATTCTATCTTCAAAAGGCTGTGGTGGCCACACATGAAACATAACACTGCTCTGCCATACACACGTGGATTAGAAGCAGATTAGAGCAGTTTAATACACCTCTTTTCCTAATAAAAAAACACAATAATTAAATCCTCATTTTACATCAAAATCTCAATTCAGGCTTGCATTCTCAGCTTATAGGAGAACTAAGAAGGACAAAATGAGAGATTGATAGCTGACTAATAACCAAACACCTGAAGGCAATGTGAATGTGATCTGGAGAACAAGAGTGAAGTCAACACTGAGCCAGATGTGAAATGTGTCTGGGCTGCTTTCATAAGCTCAGTGAAAGCGTCATGAATGACACCCTTTTCCC